TCTGTTGTTATTATTGCTGTTCAGTGTTGACAAATCCAAATTGCCAGTTAAAAGGCTGCCATTGGACAGAGGGGTAGACTACAATCTGTGTGTCAAAGGGGGCGAGCAGAACTAGTCAGTGACCCATTGATAATGCAAAACGGAAGTTACGAGCGCGTTCAACGATTGAAATCTACACAAATGCAACTTTGCGGGTTGACGCGACGCGAGGAAAGAGAGCGAGAGTGCAATAGTAGATTCGCCAGTGTTTTGTGTTTGAGTGCATTCTTTTTTGCTTTGTCAGATAGCCTGCGCGCTCGCTCACACAAACGTAACTGAATGCAAAGCGTGTGTCTCGCCTCGTTTATGCAACGTGCCAGAGTTCTGATTTAATTCTTGTTTTGTATTTTTGTATTGTGTGCCATGCGAAACAAAGTCAGTTGGTCAGTCAATAGAGTGATTTGATGCTTGAATACCTATACTACTTATATTTTATTTATATCTTCATTTTATGCATTATCAGCAGACACACGGAATACACATGCTTGCATACATACTCACATTTTTGTATATGTATATGCAGAAATGTGAGTGTGTGCGACAAGCATCTAGTATATATTCTGGCGAAATGTAAAAAGCTTCCTAAGCACTGGCATTTTGTTGTTGTAAATTATATTTTATTTACACAACAAAAAACCCGTCCACTACCAGCCAAAGCGACAAAAAGCTTTCGATTATTTACTACATACATACGCAAGAATACATACACAGACGCTACGCACACGCCATACACACTACGAAAATGGCGACAAAAGCAAACAGTAAGAAAACATATGTTGCTCCCAGTACAAGCTTTGAGTACGCTACAGTTTTGATAGAGAGGGAGAGAGAGAGAGAGAGAAGGCGCGTTCACAAATGGCCCACGCTCTCTAAAGCTCTTTACAAGCGCCTAGTTTGTTTACAACTCTTTGTTGGTTGTGCGCGTGCGAGTGTGTGTGTGTGTGAACGTGTAAAACAAAGGCAACACTGCGATAAATTAAAAATTCAAAACAAAATATAAAAAATAAACAGTTTTGACCTTGGGTTTGGTTAATAACTGTGCTCCCACAGCGCGTTGGCTCATTTACTCTTTGTTTGCGCCTGCCACTCTCTGCCCTTTCTTTTGCTCTCGATAATTTGTTGATATCGCGGCTGCCTTAACTATTTTCTCTGCATAGCTTTTGTTTATAATTATTGCACATTATTTCACGAAGTGTTGAAATTGTCTGTCTTATGTGTTTATAATTTGAACTGAAATTTATATAAATGTTAATTTAAAATTTTTATCATATTGTTTTTTTTTTCCTTTTGTATTATATGATGTCATAGTCAGCTGCTCTTGTTGTGCTTTATTCGCTTTGGTCACGCCTTGTAGCCAGTTTTGTACTTTAAACCTTAGCCCCCAGCAAAGAGCGAAGCATTGAACGTTTCACGTGCATCCCACGCGTCCTTTGTTCCGTTCTGTTCCGTTTGTTCTGCTCATACATGCAAAACATGTGTATACACATGCATATGTACATATTTACATACACAGAGTCAAACTTACATAGCTACATATATATACATACATATGTATGTATGTATATGTATATGTCTGTTTATTAATTATATTTTAGGCATCAATGAAGCTTCTATAATCTAGCTCGTGTCTACCTTTTGTAATCATATGTTTAGCATCAGATGTTTTTTCTCGCTCTCATCTGCTTCCTCGCGTCGACCTCTGCAAACATTTCGCGTTCGTTACTTTTTTTCCCATGCGCGTGTTTTTGCTGCTTTTGTTGTTATATTCTTCGTGATAATTATAAAGACATGCTCTTCGTTTTCAAGCTTTTTTGTGCTCTCTTCCGTTCTTTCTCCCACTACACTTGGGCCATCCTCAAATGTTTGCTTGTTGTTCGGTTTGTCTTTTGTACAATTCCACTTAAGTTTATAAGTATTTTCTTGTTTTGTTATTTGTTTATTTTTATTTTCTGTTATATTATTCGGCAGCAAATTTGTAATAAATTCTATTTGTGTTTTCTCTATTCCCATTCGTAGCTTTTGTATATAAGTGCCAGCCGTATGTTTCCTATTTATACTTAAGTACATACACAAATACATACATATGTATGTATATACGTATAAATGTATGTAGATATGTTTGTATTCATATACATATGTTCTCGACTAACCACATTTGCTCATAGAGGGCGCTTTGACTTCGAAATAAAAAAAATTGTTTGGCCTTCGACGCGTTCGGCAACCTTTGACGAATATTAAACAATTTAAAAAGCAACAAAGCGAAAGAATAATGAAGGGAAGGAGGTCGGTAGATTGTTGAAGAGGCGGGCTCGAGCAATAGGAATAATATGTAAAGAAACCAGAGAAACAAGCATATCACTTAGTTAAAGTAGAAAAGTAGAATTGTTGTTATTTTTTTTGCTATTCAAGTGTTGCCTTAGATGCTACACGTTGTCTCCATGAATGTGAATGTGTGTGTGCTGTGTGGGTATGTGTGAGGCTTGGTTTGCTCTCTCATGACCTTGACGAATAGGGTGGCAATGCTCGGTCCACTCTAGTGTTTCGGCTGTTGTAATTGATTCCGGCTATCAGCTGTTAAAATGTCGACTTATCGCCCAAAACCGACAGACTACATGCTATAGATAAGCTTCGTAGACTGGGTGATATTAACTCCAAGGTCTTTCATACAAGTACGATTACAAATTTATATGTAAATCTATAAGTATGTAAGTGTTGTATCAAACAGCTGACTTCATAATTAGTCAAAATACCAAATAAATTATTCAATTGTTGTGTCAACTTTACAGAAATCGATCCATAAGCCATCAGTCTGATATCACAAAATTTAAAAGAGGAGAGGTACATTAACTATGATAATTATGACATATGTTTATACATTAATATGTTAATTGAGCTACATTCATTGGGATGATATGAATGTAAAGAGCTGTATAGATTGATTGTGAGAGTTTTCAAATTAATTGTCGATTACTATTAACATAAATTATTTTGTAGGGCAACAAATTGATTTTTCGATAACAATATCGATAAACGATTAGTAATTATTTATATAAGCTAAGGAAATATGTGTACAAACATATGAATTTACACACATATATATGTATAAGATTTGCTATACATGGATTTGTGTTTTGAGAGCTTTGGAACTGCATTCAAGGACTCCTAAGCACATTTTTTAATTGTATCGAGAAATGCGCAGCGATGAAATTTATAGTCCCTATACTAGATGCAATTTTCCATTCCAAATTTATGGCCATTTAAATCATCCAGAAGTTTCGTTTTCTTTGTAAACAAACTAATTAATATTTATAATCCACAACAACAACAACAACAACGACAACAACAGTAGGGAGAACAATAACAAACTGTGGAGTCACCTGCCCGGCCAAAGGCAAAAGCCGTCGAGCCACGAATTTAGCAACAAATCAATGGAAAAAGAAACATAAAAAATATTTGGCATAGTTTTTTTTTTTCTTTTAATTTTATTTTTGTTCCCTATTTGTGTTATTTAGTTGCTTTTGGCTAGATTTCGCGTTTCTCGTGTTTTGCATTTTCTAACTTCTTTCGATTTTGATAGTTCCTTTATGGCACAAGTGTGTGCTAGGTATATAGTTTGTGACTAATAGACAGAAGAAGAAGGTAAACTGAATCTAAAAATAATATGTATTTATATGCGCCATAAAGCTGAATAAGTGAGTTGATCTATCTACTGATTGCTAGGCCCAAGCTCCGTAAATTTAGACTAAAATAATGCTGAGTGTAATCATAATCATAATAATAGTAGTACTTATAATCATAATGTTATTGTTAATAATATTAAAAGAGATACGCTGCATGATAATCTTGTTGATATTCACAATTATGTTCGCAATAATGTTTGTGACAATGATCATACTGATCTTAATTAATGATGCGAATAACGATGATAATAATAATTCTTATAATTGTTATTTTAATTATGAATATTATGATAGTGATAAAAAGATAAATATGAATAAATATGATCTCGGGTTATATTTTAATCCTAGCGTAAAAAAGAAAATAAAACTAAAACAAACGAAGTGTCTAGAATTAGTCAAAGAGTTTTTGCAAAACATTTTATAGATAGACAGTTCGCATTTTTATGTCATCTGGTTTGCGATTATCTTTTATAGTATTGTTTTTATTATTTTTCATTTAAGCATGGATCTTTAAATGTCGCTGTATAAATAATATTAGAACTTGCAAATCACTTGGAAATTAAATAAAACATTTCCGTTCACGTTGCTTCCTCTCTTCCTTTTACTCTCTCGTTCTCTATCTCCTTGTCTTTCTATCTTTATATCTGCCACGTGCCTGTCGAACAACATCGTTTATGTGTTGTTCCATCAATCATATAACACGAGCTAACAGTCTCGATATTACAAACAGCTGTAGATATATCTAGATATTAATATTAACTCTGCGGCATAGTTCCGGCTCAGCTTTAGATAAAAGCTGCATTGGAATCTGGCTTTGCAAGAGGAATTAACATAAAGTTCAATTAGGCTTATTAGGTTTTCTATAATAAATAAGATTTCTTGTAGTCTCTGATAATATGCACTTATGATCTGATATGCTATCAGTATGTTGTTGGTTATAGCTTATAAATTCCAAACTCCCAGTTCGAATTTCTTAATATTAAAATAGTTTAAGTAATAAATGCTTATAATATATTTACTCGTTTTCTTACATCTTTCTCCATATATTGCTGGAATGGCAATTCTATACTCTACTCTAAAGTTTGCTTAAGGTTATTCTTGGGAGATAGTTTAGAGCTGAGGTATACAAGTTATTCTGAGTGTTGCTGTCCACAGCAACTGGCAGGCCTTGAGGCTTGGCTTTCAACCATTTCGTATGCTATTAAAGACTATTTATGCTTAATTTAATCAGCAATGCAATTGGCTTTAACTAACTGTTTGACTTTTCAATATCTCTTGCAGCAGCTCTTAAGCAACTGCGCAGTCGCAGCGCAGCGCCTGGGCGCCAGGCGCTCAACAGCAACAACAGCAACAGTAGAGCCAACAGCAGCAACAACAATTGTTGGTGGCATCATATTATAGTATATATTCTGTTGGGAGCAGCCACGCCTTCTGCCCACCTTCGCCTACGGCATTGATCTCTACATTAGTGACGCCATGACTGAGAATCAGGTATATCCCATGTCATCGGAATTCTTTGACAGTGGCTCGAACAGCAGCAGCAATCCGTTGAAATACGAATTATATGCACTGGCCACGCCCTCGCTGAGCTTACAGGCGGGCAGCTACAATAATAGCAACAGCAACAACAATAGCAACAGCAACAGCAACAACAATAATTCGAGTGCCATTTCGAGCAGCAGCAACAGCTACACATCGAATGTAATGCTGAGCACAACGGCAATTAGCATACCGCGCAGCAACAATCCCAATCAGAGCCACCATCATAGCCACCACCATCATCCGTATCAGCAGCTGAGCGGAACGCCAACATTGACACCGACTCCACGCCAGCAGCAGCATCATTTGCACAGTTTGCCCAGCATGGCGCAGCAGCAACAGTTGCAGCAGCAGCAGCAGCAGCAGCAGCAACAACAACAACAGCAGCAACAGCAACAACATCAATCGTTGCAGCTGGGTGAACTGAACGTTTTTGGCTTGGACGCATTGGATGCGGCTTCGTTGTCACCAACTCTGCTGCAGGACGTCAGCTTGGGCGCCACCTCGCCGCTGAGCTCGAATTTGTACAGCAGCAGCGTCAACGATTCGGGCGGCCACAATGCTGGTGGCAACAGCAGCGCTGCCGGCGCCGGCGTCGGCAGCAGCAACTACTTCACGCCCGATCTGAGCTCGTGCCTCAGCCTGAATTTGCCATCGGAGCAATCGCTGCTGCAGGATGTGGTCCATGGCAGCGCATTGCTCTACGAGATGACGCCCAACTCGAATGCCATGTGGAGCGACATTAGCAGCGCCATTGTTCATACCAAAAACGAGCCATTTAGCCTGGACGACGATTACATCTTTCCCAACGACAAGGCCGAGATGCAGGCCGAGCTGGCCGAGTTGAATGGCGGCGATTTCTTGGATGTGATGAGCACCATAGAGGAGTTTCTGCCGGCACAGAACTTTTTGCTATCGCCGCAATCGCAAACCCAAGATGCTCTACCTCTAGAGTTGCTGCAGCAGCAGCAGCAGCAACAGCAACAACAGCAGCAGCAGCAGCAGCAGCAACAACAGCAGCAACAGGCTCAGCTGGAAGTTTTGCTCTCGCAGACCCAACAACAACAGGCGGACACCTACGAGCTGTTCCACAGCACACCACAGAAGCCGCCATCTCAGTTGGGCTCGAGCTTCTCGCCGGGCAGCCAGGCATCGCAGTCGCCACTGACGCCACCCCCACCGCCGCACGCCAGCCGCTCGCAATACCAGCTGGTCAAGTCGCGCAACATGCAGGAGCTGGCAAAGAAGGGCATGGCCATGTCCTCGCCGCCCGACCGTCACTCGCTGCTCAGCCAGACGGCCGCGCTCAGTCCGGGCGGCAGCAGCAGCGGCTTTGGCAGCGCTGCCAGCGGCAACAGCACAACCACTGCCACGGCAAATGCCAGCTCCAGCTCCAACCAGAGCCCCGGCCAGGTGGTCATCACGGCAACAGCCGCCACGCCTGGCAACATGCGCAAATCCTTTGGCTATCCAACTGGCGGCTCCGCTGTGGAGAGCTCGCAGCTATCGCGTCTATCGTCGTCGGCGCCGACGCATCTGGGCTTGGAGCACATCTGGATGCGACGTGAGCCGCGACAGCATTTACTCTCCACCGGCTCGCTGGCCGAGGCCGAGAGCTTCTCCTCGCTGAGCACCGGCAGCGTCTTGTCGCCCGATGGCATCGATTTCTCCCAGGACGACGACGACGATGCCTCCAGTGACAACAGCGACAACTACGATGACTTCAGCAGCGATAATGGTGAGCAAATCTATATATAAATCCATATGCATAAACTAAATTTAGTATTTGCATTAACTCAGGCTCTGGGGATGAGGATGAAACACGCACATCGACACCAAATCAGTTGGCCGGCAGCAAGGGCAAGGAGCGTTTCTTTTGGCAGTACAATGTACAGGCCAAGGGACCGAAGGGCAAGCGGCTGGTGTTCCAGTCCAAGCTGGAGGATCCACATTTCCTCAACGAGGTCACAGATCCCGTGTTCAGTCCCACGTGCTCGGTGCGCGGCATAAAGGTGTATAAGGTAGGTCGTCCAAGGCATAAGCAAGAGGAGATCAAGAAGAAGATGAACCCTATTAGAGTGTATTATTATTATAATAATTTTAATAACCCGAATAACGAATTCTTATCAAATTGATATTTGCCTCAACAGCACAGCGGCAAGGCACGCAAGGGCGATGGCAACGACTTGACGCCGAATGCGCGCAAGCTGCACAACATTGGCAAGGAGCTGGACAAGCTGAGTCGCACCATCAACGACATGACGCCCGTGTCAGAGCTGCCCTTCAATGTGCGTCCAAAGTCGCGCAAGGAGAAGAACAAGTTGGCATCACGCGCCTGCCGGCTGAAGAAGAAGGCCCAGCACGAGGCGAACAAAATCAAACTATATGGCCTGGAGATTGAGCACAGTGAGTGCAGGCAGTAGTATATTGATGTATCTGAACTATATCATAGCTATATTCTGTTTTTAGAGCGTCTGATGAACGGCATCGCTGAGCTGAAGCAGGCGCTGGCGCTGAAGCATCGCACAAAGAGTCAGGGCGAGTCCACCGAGGAGGTGGATCAGCAGATACAACGCATTTATGCAACGGCTTCATGTAAGTGGAATTGTGAATTGGTCTTGTGAATGCATAAAAATCAGAGATTAATTGATTATATTGTATTTCTTATAGCGGGCATACGCATTGCGGGCGGCTCAACCGAATTTGTGAATAAAGTCTTGGAGAATATGCGCGGCGGCATGCCCAACGGCGGGCTCGAGGAGCTGCGCAAATCGTAGACCAAATATTCAAAGCTTAAACGAACCGCCCATCAAGTCTAGACTTAAGCAGTGACTAACATGTAGCCATAGCTCTCGCCAACTAAATCCCTGTCCAACTAAAGCCCGGCAATGTGACCCAGACGAAAAAACACACACAACCAAACCAAACAAACAATTTTGAAAAAATGTTCTGCTTGAGTGCGTGATAATAAGTGAATGGTAACTGGTGTAGAGAGAAGTGAGGGAGCGAGAATGTCAAAAAACAAAAACAAACAAAAACAAATGTGAATGTGAGAAATAGTTGTAACTGTGATTTAGGAGCCTGGCATTGCATGCAGCAGATAAGTGCTTGTTTGGCCAGCGCTAACAAATTGAAACGAAAGAAAATAGAATTCCCTGGGTAAAGCTAAAGTAAAAATATTCAAAAATATTCTAAAACAAAATACGAAACAAAATGTAAAGAAAGAGGCAACCATAAAACATAAAACCACTACGAAAATTCGTTTAGTTATTAAGAAGAATATTAAGATAAAGGAACGAACGCATGAATCGAACAGCTAAATGCAAAGAAAACGAGTCTAGGAATTAGCTACCAGTTTTACCTGCTTACGAGATAAGTTTTTTGATTTTGTTGAAACATTTGAATTGCGAAACTAAATTAGGCAACAAAATAACAACAAGGAAACGTACATATATATTTAACTATATAACCATATATGAATATATATATATATACAACTGCGATTTATTTGTTTAAGTTTTTATGCTATATATATAAACGATGTATAAATTGGTTCAATGTTTAGATTTAAGTTTTTTCTATATATCAGTTGGCTAAAATGAAGAGCTTTTACTTTTATATACACAAACATATATATATGTATATATATATATATATAATCTATAACAATTATGTTCATTATGTTTGTTGGCCCCACCCGCCCCTACATACATATTTTTATCGGTCCTAGGTTGTCAGCTTTTAAGTTTTTGTTTGCGCCTAAGTTAAACTATGTTTGAAAGAAAAAGCACAATGAAAATATTGTTTAATTTCTGTTAAATTTACCGCATGTCTTCTATGCATGCTTTTAGTTAACATTACTGATTAATACTATATAGCTGCTCTTTTATATACGTATATATCTATATCCCTATATATATATATATATTTACATGTATGCGTGGTGATATAATTTTAATTTTCTTTGTATGCTTCGATTTCGTTCGGGTGAAACCTTTTTCTTTGCAGGTTTTACGCAAATACTTTTAAGTTTTTTATAAATTAAAGTACATTATTTACGTTTCCCATATGATATACCTTCAATATAAAGGATAATTTATTAACTTTAGGCAAAACAAACAAACAAACAATTTGCAAGAACTTAAATTACATTCATTTCTTAACTTTAGTTGCGGGTCGCTCTTTGAAGTGCATACAAATTAAGTTTCAAATACAAAAACACAAAAAAAAAAACCAAAAAAAAAAAACAACTAAAACACAATTTGAGTTTTATTAATTTTCCATTTATTTGCGATTTCTTTCGATTGTTTTTTTGTTTATTATTATTATTATTTTTTTGTTTGTTAAAGAACGTTTTGCTCTGCTTCGATGCTAATTTTGTGATATTTGTATTTGTTTATTTTGTTGTGTTAGGGATTTGTGTATCTAGGGTTCATTTAGTTCGGGTTGGGGCCTGCCTAGCCTTATATAACTGCTATTTGTTGCGCAATACGTTGTGTTCAGTTGATATCAAAAAAAGAACTTTAAGAAGAAAACAATTAGGCTAGAGGAAAGGGAAGAAAGTTCAAAACATTCGAAAGGCGTTTAGTCTGCACTTGGTTTCTATTTCTCTTTTCTTTGATATTGGAGATCGTTTTCGAGGCTTTTGTTTGACAGAAAGAAAGAAAGAAAAAAATACAAACACAAAAGGAAAATGAAAATTAAATAATAAAAGTGATTAAAGTTAAAAACTTAGAACTTAGGCACTCGTATCACCCACAGAGTTGAGCACGTGGCAAACAAATTTAGTAGTTAGTTTAGGCTTAACAAATAATGGGAAACAACAAATTCAACTGAAACATACAAACACATATATATATGTATAGTTGTATGTACTTGTAAAATATGTAACAATTATCAATTGGCCATCAGTTTTGTTTAGGGTTTTCAAATTCATGTTTTAGGAGCTTCAAATCCATAAGTGATATGAATACAAAATTCAAAATTACATTTACGTCTAATATATAATCACTCACCCACACAAACACACATCCAAACACACAGTACACTTATACACACACACACAGATACAAAGTACAAGCAACTGAAAATGTTATGGAATGTAATACCTGCTATATATGGATAGTGTATGCAGAGTTGCTTAGGTTTAGGATTGTCTTTGTCCAAAAATTTGCAAAATATATAATATGCAAATGAAGTGCAAGACGCGGCATTGAAGTAAGCACGACAGTTCCTCAGTGTTTAATATGTGTAAAGAGCATACTAAATATTATATACATATATACATGTATATGCATATATAATTCTTAATTATATTGTAACAAAGAATGCGAATACAAAAATATATATATATATACGTATATGTATACACCTGCAAAAGCATAAATATTATATTTGTGTAATGTAAATGTGTGCTTTAAATAAATGTGCTTCATATTTACCAATTTTTTTATATGTCGATATCAATAAAAACATAATTGTAAATCGTGAAATACCTAAACAAAGGATTAACTACCTCAATGTTGAATACATGTTTCATATTCAGTAAATACTTAAGGAGCAAAATGATATACATAATACAAACATATATGCATATATGTACTAGGTTTACGTACAGCTTCAAAAATATATTGAAAGTTAACCAAGAAATTATCGTGGGAACTAAAATCTATATATACATATAAATATATATATGTATGTATATACATATTTACAAAAAAAAAAAAGAGAGAGCCTGAACCATATTCAAATGTGTCCATTTAAAGAATACAATTTGTATTTTCAACTTAATAATGTACGAAGAGCTGAAGAGAAAAACAATTTTAGAACTTCGCTAGAAAACGAAGCGCTGAACAATTCGTAGTTCTGTAAAGATTCCAAGTCAAGAAACTAACTTATTGAGCTTTTCAGCTCAACAGACTGCCTGCAAGGCTATCCAAATAATACAACAAATATATATACAAACATTTATGTGGTGTCCAATAAATTGATAAACAATTATGAATATATATACATATATTGATATACAAAAACAAATAATTTTAATGAAACTGTGTTGAAAATTTCAAATTGTACGAGCCTTAAGGCAAAACAATAGATTACATAATTATTATGTATAAAATAAAATGAAAGAAGGAACAGCGAAAACTATAAATATAATATTTAGAATATGAATATTAAAAAAAAAAAAACATAAAGCATGTCCAAGCAACATAACAATTGTGTCTATATATATTCAAACAACATACAAAATTTCAATATGAAAATAAATGGCGACAGCAACACAAAAAAAAACAAATATCTACCATATTTTTCTTTACAAGAAATTCGGAGGGAGGTGCAGCAAAAAAATGTGGAACGCTTCACGATTTTGCGTGTCATCCTTGCGCAGGGGCCATGCTAATCTTCTCTGTATCGTTCCAATTTTAGTATATGTTCTGCCGAAGCAAGAACGAATGTAGTTGAAAAATTCTGCTATTTATACGTGCACCCAGCGAAACGAGCAGTTGGGAATTACAAGCACATGACTAAGCAGCATAGTGTGAAGAGCGCCATCTGTTGTTCGTTTTGTGATTGGTTGTTGCACAGGCTAAACAGACACATTTTAGCCGGTAATAAACTAAAATCAGCATACAGCTATTAAACATTTCAATTATGCTTGAACAATTAAACTTATTTATTTTAACCTGCATTTTTATTAGCTTGTTAAATACACATTTGTTACAATTGTCAACACAAATAATTTGCTTTATTTAAACTACAATAGAAAATAGAGATTCAGAGGCACGACTAAGAGAGTTTTGGTTCAACTGCTGAAAGACCAAACAGTTTTGCTTATGAGAATTATAAATACATTTTCCTTTTATACACATAAGAAATACAAAAAAAATAGTGTCGAACGATTTCAGTTGATTGTGCTGGCTGCGGCTCTCGAGGAGATTATATTTCCTTCTCCAGCTCATTCACTCATGTTTCTGCTCGGGCTGCAAATCGAACCAGGACTTCAGGCCAGCGGGCGTAGTTATTTCGCTGTCATCCAACGGTATCTTAAGCTGCAAGGGAATACGATAAAAGAAATGTGATAAATTAAAAATAAATAAATATAAAGAGAAAACTGTAAACCTTTTTCTGTTTTGAAAAATTAAAAAGATATGGACGATTTAAAAAATTTTTACTATTGATTATTATATATTTTTTTAAATATTGTAGAGCAAAAAAATGTGGAACGCTTCACGATTTTGCGTGTCATCCTTGCGCAGGGGCCATGCTAATCTTCTCTGTATCGTTCCAATTTTAGTATATGTTCTGCCGAAGCAAGAACGAATGTAGCACAAAAATTCTGCTATTTAAACGTAACTGTAGCCGAATTAACAGTTGGGAATTCTAAGGCAAGTAAAGTAGGTAGAGGGGAACATGAAGGTAGGTAGGCAAGGCTTGCTAAGGGTAGGTAGGGGAAGGTGAGGGTAGGTCGGGTATCTGTTTACTGCCTGCGGACTCACCATGCCAATAATGGGACTGCCGCTCGATAGGAAACCCTTCTGTGTGCAGACGGTCACCTCGAGCTCGGTGTGCCGCAGTTCGGCAATCGAAATGAGGTACTCAAAGGAGGCATCGTAGACGGGATTACAATTGTCCTTGATGACGGAGGTCTTGCGCTTGGACTCCTTGCTGCGACCAGGCAGCAAATACAGCTTCACATACGGATCGGGTATGCTGCTCGGATCCCGCAACGGTATATTCATGATCTTGTGTATGGTCACGTCTAGCTTTTGCCGCTGCGCCGAGTACGTGATGGACAGCTGTATGCGGCCCAGACCATGCTCTCCGGCCGTGGAAATCGTGTCGGGCATGCGATGGGTCAGCGTCGAGCTGGCCACTTCGCTAATTGCTTTCTCCAGCGATGCGGACGCTGGGATTATTGTTGTACTCTTGATGGGCTCCTCCTCACTAATCGGAGTCTCGGCGGAGAGGCGTTTAGCCTTGGCCTGCTCATCCTAAAAGAATGCAAGAGGAGATTACAAATGGATTATAAAATATATTATTATTACTATATCTTCTTACCTTGGATACTTGACTAGTTAGTGCCGGTGCATCGGGCGTCTTGACAGATGTGCTACGCTGCATAGCTGCGATCTGCTCCAATGCTTCCGACTCATCGTCGATTTCACCTGCCTTCAAAATGCGCAGAGATAGTGACATATATAATTTGGATTCGGGTCCAGACTTTTGCAGCTGGAAGGGCTGCTGAATGACCTCCATGTTGAACTGCTTCAGCAGAGTGCTGAGCGTGTAGGTGAATTGGCCAATATCGTTGCCCGTCTTCTGGTCATAGATCTTGATGTTGAGGCTCTCGTTATTCGGATTGGTTACCAGGAAGGTGAAGCCCTGCTCCCAGACGGGCGAGTCATCGCGCAGGATCATAGCAGTCTGCTTCTTCTGCTTGTTGACACTGCACACCAAATAGGGATCCGGCTTGGAGTTGGCACGTGCTTGCTGCAATGGATATCAGTTTATTCAGAGCTTTATCTACGATTGTCAACTGTACACTATATCTCTTACCTTCAGATGGCGAGCGGAATCAATGAATACGCTGAGCACAGCCGAGCTCATGGTCGTCACACGCAACAGTTGAGTCTCCAGTAAGATCTGCTGTAGATCATTCGGATCGGCAGTCAACTTATACCATTGCAAACGGACATGCAGATCGCCATGCTTGGCATCCTCCAGAGCAAGCCACTGTGAAGGCGGGAGTAACATATTAATGGGGTTTCACTTGCTTTGAATAATAAAGTTTATTCGTTTCCCATTCACATGGACGAGCTTATCAAACGAATATAATATGATTTTATATAGCTCATATAGGAATCGATTAATATATATATATACAAAGACTTCCATATAGCTGCATATGAATTTTCTCACCCCTTCTGTTAAATCTCTTAACCATCTCTATATACTTACAGTATCTAGAACTCCCTTCTTGATCACGCTGGATACATCGATTGTGGCTCTAAATGTGGCGGAAATTAAAAATCTTGTATTAGCATCAAGTTTCATTATATTTCTTATCAAATTTAACTAACGTAAAGTTGTTGTTAAGTGTTTTAAGCGGGTTTCGGGTCGAAAGTGGAGCTTTTGAGTAACTTTGTTCAGGGAATTCAGATTTTGTGTACTGTGAGAATAGTGTGAGCTGTACGGATTTAGTAGACAAAGTATTATATTGAATATGTTAATTGTATTGTTTCGATTTTCTTTGAGATACTCATTGATGTTGTGGTGAAAACGATTGCCTAACCTGCCGAGCGACTCGTCATCACTTGTGCGGTCCCAATCAAAGAGTCTAAGCACGAGTATGGCACGTTGTGAGACCTCAACCACAGCCTTATCCGCATTATGGTAATATGGAAGATATTGTATTAATACTGTTAGTTTCAAGCGGGTTGCTCAGCTCAATACAAGTTATGCTACGTATGTATGTACAGTGGTAATTATTCGACTCAATCCATCTACGGCAACGACTCTACAGAGCATGCAGTGTACAGTACAGGGTGCTCCATCTGGCTGTGTGTGTGTGTGTTTGTGTAGGTGTATAGCTGCGCATGCATTGTTAGTATTTCTAGTAGTTTTGTTTTTAGTATTAATATATATTTAGTATTCAGCAGTTCAGCGTATAGCAGTCGGTAGGAGCTAAATAAGGAACGTGTCTTCAAAGCTTTTATCAATTTGATAACTGTTGCCAGATTTTGTGCTATCATTATTGAACGTTGTCTTCAGTGTTCATGAAACAATGAGAAAAGTAATTTCTCATGTTCACAAATTGGTTTCGGAGAGTTTACAAAATATACTATTTTCTAGACTGTCACGACTTCAGATAATCAAACTCTAACAAGAAGTTCAAATACTTTACGTTATAAAATCATAAGTTCCTCATAAACATTTATAGGCTCTACAGATTCCACAAACTGAGAGAAAATCAGTTTAGCTAACTTCTAAATTGAATTGCAAATGCTTAACCGGAGTTAATACGCTCTCCGAGCTAAATTCATTCATTTATTTGCATCACAGTCCTGGGTCAACTCCTGTCAAGCGTCGGAATTGTCAGTAAATGCTGGATAAAACTAGGTTTATTATGAGGCAGAACTTGCAAAAACATAACGAAACATAACAGGAAATAAAAAATGCAATGACAAGGTTAAACAGAAACGCAATTTCATGCCGCAATACAACCTGCCCAATATATCATCAGCCTGTACGCCGGGCATACTTTGGTCATAGTCCCACAAAGAAAAACCAACGAAGTGATTGATGCTGGTAAAAATACCCGCCTAGAAAAACAAGTGTGTGTAAGATAAGAAATAGACTGAAAGATAGAGATAGAGGGAGAGAGAGAGCAGTGTCTGAACTTGACAGCAAGAGCGAAACACTTAAGCCTATGCAGAGTTAAAGCAAGGCATGCACTAGTAACGGTAACCAACATAGATATTACGGGTATTACTCACATACGATTTGCGGTGAATTTGAGTGGAGGGGATTTTTTGGATGGGTTAGCGTTAGCGTAAGACCCGACCCGACTCAATGTCGTGAGCCACACCCAGAGAGGAGAGTTTGGTGTGGGGATTGCAGTTAAATGAATAGCTTACCTGCCGAGATTTTCATCTTGCTTGGAATCATCAGAGTCCTTCAGTTGGATATTAACAAATTGCCCCATTTCAATAAAAACTGTCGCCTGGTGGCAGACCCGAGACGCACAAACAAAACACGAGTACATAATGTCAAGAAATATGCATGGAAATTCAAATGAAAAATGGTAAAAGTATTGAAAAAATACAAAGGCTACGGCATAAGGAATTCATGTGGTTCACAGTGTTCTGCGTGTGTGTTTTGCAGCATGCAGCAATCGATCGGCAACGGCCATAACAGACTACGAAAAGCGAAGAGGCAGTATCTGCAGTTGCATTGCAGCCAGCTTACGTACCTCACACCAGTAATCCCACTTGGGATTCACATTATTATCAATGATCTGCGTCCTGAACTCCTGGGCGCCCACATTGACGATGGCATACGGATCCGATTTACCCTTGCCCAGCACACTGATGTCCTTCTTCATCAGATTCTTGGCCTCGACGACGTGAATGCGCAACAGGCCCTGAAATTAAATAATATTAATTGATTAGAAAAGTAAAAAAAAAAATGTGTAAGCAAAAATATTAAAACTAAAATTATTTATATTAATTAAAAAGAAGATGATAGTTCAGAGAGGTTTTAATTAAATATAAATAAAATAAAAAAAAAATAATTTAAAAAAATCAATTTAAATAAATAAAAAATAATGATTTTATTTTTTATTTAATGATTTTATTTTTTATTTATTTAATTTTGAAAATTTTAAATTCTATTTATTGATATTGTAATATAATAATCTTAATAATACATTTTATATTATTATTATTTTTTTAAATTCTATTAATTTTGATTGTAATATAATAATTTTAATTTAATACTTTTATGACTAATTCATTTTATTTTTGTATATAAAAATAAATTATTTTATAATTATAAAATTATAATTATAAAAAATTTATTTAGCTGCTCGTATAAATTAGAGCTCATATATGTATATTCTATTCTACTAATCAGTCTCTATGATCTGCTCTTCAAACATTCATCAGTCAGTCAATCAATCAGACAATATATATGTATACATCCTCCCACTCATCAATGATCTGTTCAATAAATCGGACACATGGATAATAATTAGGAACACCCACCTCAGGCTCGGGCATTTTGAGCGACACCGCGGAGACCTCGTCGCTGAGGGAGATTGGCAGCTTGTTGGGCAGCACCATCACATTGCCGATTTGCTCCACAATGATGCGGCGCAGCAGATCGGAGAGTCCCGGCATGTCCATGAAGTCAATCACGCCCACCAGATTGAAGTCAATGTTCGGGTTGTTGAGGAAGAAGATCTGCAGGCCGCCCACCAGCGGCATGGAGCGTATCAGCGGCTTCATCACAACGCGCACCCAGCCGTGAATCTGGAAGTCCTTAATGCCGCCCTTCATGCCGCCCAGATAGAAGTTGATGTCGCAGTCGCTGGCATAGAACAAATCCAGATCCATGATGATCTCATTGCGGTCCACGTTCTTGTCGTAGATCTTGACGCCGCCGATACGTGGCGGAATCGTGCCCAATATAATCCGGTCGAAGCGGAAGCCATTCATCTTGTACTGCGACAGGGCCAAGGCGACATTTGGCTCAATCGTCTCCTTGACCAAGGTGCGCGCAAAGTGATTGGCATTGGGCCAGACCTGCTTCAGAATCTATGGCGGAAGGAACTCACCCGTTAGGAATAGCTTAGCGTCAGACCCAATCTCAAGATTTTACCTTATTCAACCACTCGGCACGCTCCACATCCGGAAAGTAGACCCAGGCGGGCAGCTCGTCGATGCGTGCGAGAATCACATCCTTTTCGCAGGCGAGAGCTGATGCCTTGGCTATGTCACGCCTCTTCGCCGACGTCTTGGCCATCTGATCCCGCGCCACCGACAATATAACGGGCGCAATAAGCCAGGCCACAGACCAGCCCATATACCCAACCAGATATATGGAGCCCACAATGGCCACCTTCTTGCCCACCGCGTAGATGATGGAGAAGATGCTGTCCTCACTGCTGCTGCTTGGCTTTGCCACAGCTGCGGCGTCATTGCCAGCAGTCGGTGTTGCTGTTGTTGATGCTGCTGCTGCTGCTGCTGTTGGTGTTGCTGCTGCCGTTGGCGTTGCTGCAGGCGTGGCAGCGGGCGTTTCGTTCATTTTGGGCGGCTGGGCAAGCGGCACTATGGGCTCTTCCAGATCTGAATTCGGTGGCACTACGAATTCGGCCAACGGCACAGTCGGCTCAGCTGCGTTCGTATCGCTAGAGTAATGAGAGAGTGAGCGTGAGAGAGAGAGAGAGAAACAGTAAAGAAAATAATTAGAATACTGTCGATTCTATCAGCTTGAGACCAGCTGATTCATTAGCACTGGCACCGGCACCGGCACAGCGGATGATGTCATCGCTAGGTGACTTTATGGAGAGTGTTAAAGCTTAAACAAAACCTGGTGCCGGCTACAAATTATATTCGCTGTATACAAATCGTGTTTATCTAGCTGCTGTTTTCTCATTATATTGCTGTGCATTACTCATACGCCGCGTGGGTCTGGCGAATTGACACAGTTTTTATTCAAGCACTTTCCACGGGCAATTTGGCAATTGCCAATTGGCAGTCATAAGAAACATTAAGCAAGTTGGCTTTCAATATACACACATGGGCATATAGACTTTCAGATGCTGTTTGTGGTATAGGTTATAAAAGAAATCTACTTTAGAGGGAAATGTTTGTGCGTCTATTATATTTATCTGCGAGCTAAGATATAATACCAAGAAAAAAACAACAATTGCTTCGAATAAAAAATAAGAAAATAAGGAAAGAGAATATTTAAATTCATTTCAAGATTTTAATTATAAGAAACTGACTTGGAAAATTGTTAAACTGTAAGAAAAATGGCTAGAAAAATCTAGCGATAGATTTAATAAGTATATCGACATATGCATTAATCAATATAATTGTATTTGATTGATACTGAGATCTCTAGAGAGTGCAAGTAAATTCACTAAATAATAGAGCATTTCGATTAAGTCGGTCTGCATGTCAAAAGCCCTTAGAGACTTCGATTTCCCATTATCGCAGGAGCACGTCACTCAGGCTTTACGATTCCTAAATACTCAATGAGCTGGAATCATGGCAGAGCTGGCTGCTTCTCCTCTCGCAGCTCATCGCTAATTCTAGACTCTTGGGTGAATTTACATCTTGATGCCGGCAGCGCCTTCTGTTTGTGTTTCACTTTTGTTTATCTTATTCATCTGTTACTTTGTGTGGCCCAATTTTGTGGGCTCGAGCGGGGCGCCTGGGCTAAAATATTTATTTCGTTCGAAACTTTTGCAATTATATCAACTTGCTGATAAATTGAAAAAAGCTCTTGTCTTAACGATTTAACAATGAGTTGAGCCCCCGTGAGGCTGGCAACAAACCCTAGCTAAATATTTTATTTGGTAACTAGGCGTCGACAGAGCTTTGGTCGCAAATCCCATCGCATTTGGGCCAAGTACTGCGACATGAGCCTTTGGGGCATGTGGCTATGTATTCCGGTAGCTGGCCACCTGTTGCATGGCAGGCAGTAAAAATAAACAAAATAGAGACAGAGAGAAAGAGAGCGAGAGAGAGAGAGAGTGGAAAAGAGCGGGTGGGGGAGCGAGAGTTGAGTCTGACATAACTTTAATGCCGTCTGCCTTCAAAAGCTGTTCCATTGCCAAGAACTTGAACCCGCTTAACGACTATTCGCGTATTTGTTTTGTTGCTTCTTCTAATTCTCTCTCTCCCTCTCGTGGTCTCTCTTTCTCGGAGTCTCTCTAGCTTTCTGTCTCTGTCTATCTCTAATTGGCATGGCGTTTTTATAGAATGACGTCGTCGTCTGATTGTTTTTGTTGTTGTTCTAGTTTATATACTTTATATAAACATACATACATATACATATTTATTTGTATATACATAAATTGTTTTTATATTTGTCATACTTATTCTATGTATATTATATGGGCGCGACCCGCTTGGCCATGTGCACAATCATCATAGATGTTTGTGAGCAATAAAAGAAAGAAAATAAATCAAATAATATTTAATTGTTGCTTCACCTCATTGTTTGTTATTGTGCGCTCTTCTTCTTTGTTTTCCCAATTGTGTTTAGGCAATTTGTGTGTGCTGGAAAACTGAAAAATGAGTTGGTAAACATAAAAGGTGTTTAAGGTTTGTTAGTCACAAGAAAAACATAAAAAGTGAAGTGTGTTTTAAAAACAATCGGTAAAATTTAATTATTAAGCAGAACTTAAGAACTTAAGCAGTTAGAAAAAATAATTAAAAATTGAAATTAATATATTAATTTACAGAAAACAATTGTAGCTTATTAATAATTAAAAAAATGCATTTATAGTTTACTTAGTCTTTACAAATATTATTTAAATAAATTGCGAAAAATTGGTTTCTATGTAAGTGCTTTATAGGGGCTGAAACCTACGAGTTGATAGAGTCCCCTATCATAATTATAAATATAATGTGAGAAATACAGTATATGTCGTGGAATACCCAGCATTCAAATGAGTTATTCGGCTTGCAGTGAACATTACCTAGTTGATATATTATTATTATATACATTTATTGCAATGGGCAAATATTTATGTACATATTTCTACTATATATACCCATATCTCAAGACTTTATAAATGTGCTTGAACTGAAATGTGTTGTGTTTCGAATATAGACCGACACACACACACACACACATGGAGAGGCACACACACACACGCCTGAGAGTATCTAAAATCGCTATGTGGCATAGAGTATATACAAAATTTGCCAATATGGAATACAGTTTGTATATTTTTATCAAGTTCTAATTTTTCATTCATACAACAACAGCAACAACAACAACAACATGAAATAAACATAATACATTTGTTGTTTTGAAAACCGGATTCTGATTACAAAATTTTATTACGCACCCAAACAAAACTTTATAAACTCTATACGATTCGTATTTTGTTTTCGTTTGCTTCTTATTTTTTTCTGTTTCAAATGAGCTATTTAAAATTCTGTTTGTTGTTGTAGATTGCGCGACGCGTGTGACGACTTGGCGTCGAGGCGACGTTTCGAAAACTGAAAACTGAACTGAAATTCTGAGCGGCAGCCACTAGAAGATTTCGGGCTTTGAGTGAAAGCTCTGCGGTGGCTCGAGCAAAAGCTCCGCACAGCAGCCGGGCTGCTGATGCGCTGCTCAATGCTGTAGTTTCGGTGGCGCCATGGGGTAGCCCTACCACAATAGTCTTAGCCTGGGCAGAACACTGTCCAACACAAGCGCTCTTCGAGATGGATGAAGTGTGTTAATTGAAAGTTTTGTTTAAATTTGTTATGGTATAAATTATATGCATTTTATATAGAATATGTTTATATGCATTGAAAGCTTATCTCAATTTGTTATGGTATAAATTGTTCTCTAATTTATGGAAGTAATCATTAAATATTTGATTAACATAATTTAATTTCAGTTAAAATAAAGTATTATATGTAAATAATAAATAAATAAAAAATTATTTTTATTTAAAAAAAAATTATATGTAAGCTATAAATATGTGATTAGATAAATATAATTAGGCTTTGATTATTTTTAAATATTTAAATAATTTTTTATATATAGCATATTACTTTTATAATAATTTCACATTGGTTTCTTCATATTCATATTCATATTCATATTTATATTCATATTCATATTCATATTCATAT